ACGGATATGATAAACTTTTCTTGTTAATTTGTTAATGAAAATTTTGAAGTTCATAAAATATGACATTTTTTTTATAAATAAGCAGTATTTAGGTATATATAGAAATCTAATTTTTGTATGCTTATCTTTTCCTTCCTTTTAAACCTGTCATTTATATATTGGGCGTATAGCGTGAACCCGTAAATTTTTCTCCCCCCCATTAAAAATGCACATTATACATATATATAGAATACTTTGGAAAGAATATACAATACTTTGGAAATGTAAATTCTTATGTGAATCACTTAAAGGTTATAAAATTGAGGTAGAATTTCAAATAGTAGCATGTGCTAAAACTGTCCCAGTTATTTTAGTTACCCTACAAAAAATTAAATTTAGCACAACAGATATGTACAGTAAAACCTGAACCTAATGAAAAAATATCAGAATCTTTAAATGGATATCAAGGCTTATTTAAGGGAACTGGGAACATATCACATTAAATTAAACCAAAAGCTGTTGGTAAAATAGAGCTCTGCAGAAAAGTTCCACTTGGTTTATTAAATCCATTTAAAAAGGAACTGACAAGAGTGGAGAAAGATGGTATTATAAAGAATGTGAATCAGCCTACAAAATTTCGGTATTCACAAATAATAAGAAAAAAAAAAAAAAAAAAAGGATGGTAGTTTAAGAGTATGTTTATATTTTCCTTAACCAATATACTGAGAGAACATTATTAGACACTAACTTTGAAGAAATTTCATCTTTAATGTCAAATGTAAAAGTATTTAGATGCAAACAAAGCATTTTGTCAAATTAAACACTCAAATTCAAGTTTTGAGTTTACCACATTTAATACTCCATTTGGTAGATATAGTTTTTTGAGGTTGCCTTATGGACTGACTATATGCATTACCAGAATTTTTTTCTGACATTTTTAGCTATATATGATGAGTTCAAATGCTTAAGAATGACTCATTACTTTGGGGGAAAAGACCCTCTCCCCCCCAAAAAAAAACATGATTTAAGATTAAAGAAGGTGGTATTGGGAAGAGCCAGAGAAAAGAATGTTAAATTAAATTTAAATTTGGAAAATTGCTTTGAATGAAGTCAAATATTTTGGACATATATTTTCTGAAGATGAAGAAGCCAGATGAAGAGAAAAATAAGGCTATTCTAAACGTAAAACCACCAAAAAATGTTGAGGAATTAGACACTTTCATAAGTATGATTGCCTATGTTTCTAGATTTTTACTAACTTATTAGAGTTGACATCATGTTGAAGAGATTTGTTGAAAAAAAAAAAGTTATTTGGAATTGAAATGCAGTACATGAAAAAGCTTTTAGAAGACTAAGAAATGTCTTAGTAAATAAACCTATTTTAAATATTATGGTATGAATATGCCTGTAGTTTTATCTGTAGATGCATCTCAAGACTAGGAGCAGTTTTACTGCAGAATAATTTACTAATGGCATATGCGTTTAAGGCATTAACAGATATGCACAAGAGAATTATGGTCAGATTTGAAAAGGAAACTATCTATTGTATTTGCATGTGAGAAATTTCACTAGTATATATTTGGTAAAATTTTTACAATTAAAAGTGACCATAAGCTATTGGAATCAATTTTCGAGAAGCCGTTAAATAAATGTTGTCTAAGGTTACAAAGAATGCACATGGGATTGCAGCCATATCAATTAGAGATAAAATATAAACCAGGAGAAAAAAAACAGGGTGAAAAAACTTTTTATAACTGTTGCATTATCTTTTTATAACTGATGCATTGATCATTCACTGATAAAGGATATGATTTCTTTGAAGGAGACATAAAAGTGTGTGTTGGAATGGTTGTAGAATGTGTACCAGTGTCTGAAGATAAAATGGAAATTTTTCAACTTTAAAAAAAAAAAAAAAAAAGATGAACAACTACATGTAATAAGAAAATTAATTAACAACTGGATAGCCAAATGCAAAATATATGATTCCTGAACAAGCAAAACAGTATTTTAACTTCAGAGAGAAACTCTCAGAAGCAAATGGTTTAATACTTAAGAATTCCTATGTTGTTCTTGGAAGTTCAAAAAAAGATATGTTTAGTAGAATTCATTGTCATTTAGGAATAGAAATATATTAGAATAAAGAAAGATAAATATTATGGTGGCCAAGATTCTCAAAAGAAATTAAAGATTCGTTTCTGAATTGACTAACATATTTGATTTTAAAAAAATAATAATAAAGAACCAATGTTGTCATAAGAAAAGCATGCAAAAAATTCCTATATATAAAAGGGGAAAAAAAGGGTTGCTGGTCATCCTGAGATCCAGGTTTAGATTACTCTGGGTATTGGATGTCTGGATTGTGCACTTTGTACTGTATAAATTTCTTTCTTTTATCTTATCACTAATCAGAAATTAAATGATCTTTAATTAATTGCATTTTAAAAATACAAGCATACTGGTTGTAATATATACTAAAAAGAATTGTTTTGAAGGGGTAAGAGTAAGATGGTCCATAGAACCTTCACCTTCTAATTTATGAAAATAGCCCTCAGTTGGAAAAAGTTTGAGAAATGCTGTTCTAAGCAAAAGCTGTGTAAAGCAGGTGTAGCACCTAGTTCACAGAGAACCAGGGCACACAGTAAGGATCATAAATGATATTCAGGACCATTGGAACAAAAATGGATTGTTTTATTTCATAAAAAAATCTTTAAATGAGCTCTCGGATGGAGCTCTGTTCAAGGCTGATGATATGATGGAATTTTTGCTTTTCAAAGAAAAAGGAGATAGTGAACAGATACTTATGAGCTTGAGGATATGCAGTTGATTGTTCTTTTAAGGAGTGATTTTTTTTTTTTTTTTTTACTTTTATCAGTTTTTTTTGGGGGGGGATAGTATTTAAAGCACTTTCAAATTTCTTTTTTTTGAATGGAAGTTTTGCATTGTCTAGATTTTTGCAAGATTTAGGGTGTGCTTTGTAAGGGTTATTGTACTCTTTCTTTTTAACCATATATATCTTATATGAATGCATACTCACTGAATACTCTATAGAACAAAAAGTGCTGACATTATTATTATTTCCAGATCATATTTTACAGATGTGTGAAACTTCACATATTCTTTTAGCTTTCTTTACTTTGCACTGGGACAACTTTTACCATAAAATATTTATCCATATGGTCGACCAGTAAATGTATTGTGTTTTGAACTGAAGGTAAGATGAGTGTTATTTGGAAAATACAAAATGAATGTAGCCAAACCTATATGTACCAAATAATGCAAATTTTCCAAATTTATAGTTCCTACTTATAGAAAAATTGAGAACATTATTTCTTTTCATGGTGAAAAGTTTTAAAAAGCTGAGTTCGTTGAAGAAGCTCTGAAATGTTTCACCATTCAAAGAAGCCACTATCTTTCATTATCTCAACATTGGAGGGACAGATTTAAACCATGATTTTTATGCTAATTTATCATGTAAATTTATTAACATAGGATGAAACTGAAAGAAAATGGAAAAGAAATTAAATTATTGCGCATAACAACAACCTTTTATTTCTATTGGGAAATGTGGGTATGCTAATCAGCCTTTTTTATAATTGATCAATCAATTTTTGCACTATTTTGAGAGGCACTTCATTTTTTCCATATCAAATTGTATATAGGGAATTAAATTTTTTATTCTTGGTTGAAATTTTTCCCCCAAATTTCCAATCCAGATTTATATATATATATATATATTATATATAATATATGTAAATTGCTGAAAATGAATATCTGTTTTATCCTGAAGTCAAAAATGCAAAAATCAGTAGGCAGTTTTTTTTTGCTTGACCTACTGTTGATCATACATGTGATGTCCTGTTCATCTTTTTCCTACAATGCATCCAAATTTTAAACTAAAAAAATTATTCTCTGATGCTATATATATATCAAATCTATTGTTTGGAGATATTTAATTATAAATGCCTGCATAAGAAGAGTTAAAATGCATAAAATATATTTTGGAAAATGGTTTTACATCATTACTGTAAAAATAGCTTTATAATCTTTCTTGACCATCACAGTATAAACATGACACTGAAATTATTTACTACAGGTTGTTTTATTCTTTACATAGCCCCCTGGGGGGAAAAAATTGGTTATGTTATTCACTGGCCTTGGACTCACATCCTGAATCGATCTTAAAAGCTGTATCGACATGCTACAATAAATAAAGAGAACAAAGTTACAGAATATACAAATTGATTGTGTTTTTCATTCAGGGTGGAATATCTCACAGGGAAAAATGTGAAGAAAATAAAACAGATTGTGACAACTATTAGTAGTATTCAGAAATATAAAAAAAAAAAAAAAAAAAAAAAAAAAAAAAAAATAGCAGAATATAACAAAACATCTAAGTAGCGAAAAATTCATAATTTCTTCATTATTTTTTTTATGTACGGTTTATTATTATTATTATTTATTTAATTAATTAATTTTACTTCCATTCTGCTTTACCTGTATTATAGTTTAGTAATTTGTATTAAATGTAAGTTTTTGAAAATTGGAACAAATATTGCTACTTCTTGGTTGTTTTGGTACCCTTCAACATACTGTAGACATTCTGTTATTGCCTTTTTGCAATAAAATCTGGGTTTTTTTCAATGACTGTTGTTTCATAGTGAATTCAAAAGGTATCAGAAGCATCATTATTTTAAAATTGTCTTTGCACTCATATGAAATCTGATAAATAAGAAGATTGATAAGGAGCTGTACAATATTGCCACTTTTTTACTTGTATTCCATTGTTTAGATTTCAAAGTTGAAGGCCATCACACCATCATTTTACTCCCCCCCAAAAAAAAACCCTGAAAAAGAAATAAAAAATCTCATCTTTATAGAAAAATATTAAATAACACTTAAGATTGCTAGATGCTTACAAGAATCAGAGCAGCAGATGTTATTTTTGCAATGTATCAGTGGGTACCAGATAACCAGTAAGTAGTAAAAAGTCTTTCAGGTTATAAGTTTTGTTTTTGTTTCAGTGCTGAATATTTTGATGAAGCTGGAGTGAATGCTCATTGTGAAAATAATCAGTGTAATGCTGATAAAAATACTTTTGAATCTCGAGCATATGCATTTAAAAATGTGGTATTTGAAGGAGTTAGTCTGTATACAGCAGAATTCATGAAACAGTCTAGAACTATACCTCCTCCTAAGCAAGGATTTCCTTCAGACTATGTGGTATAAAAAATCTTAATTTTTCTTTTTCCCCCTTTTATTATTAATTTGCTTACATTTTCTTATGCTGCATGTAATAATATTGGATATGTTAAAAAGTACAATCAGTTTTGAAAGAAAAATTATATTAGCAAGTTATAATAAATTGAATGTATATGTTCCTTTTAAAGCATAAATAGTTTTATCCAGAGTATTTTCTTTTAAAACTGAAACTCTTTGCAACTATTTTTCGAGATAAAATGGCTACTATAAAATGGCTATGCAACCTTTTTTTTTTTTTTTTTTTTTTTTTTAAATAAATTTTTCAGACATGAAGGAGAAATTTTTATTTTTCCTTTGTTGCATTAATCAAAATATGTAAATCTGGCAGTATTAGAGCTATCAAATAAAACTTTTTATTGGAATTTTCCTGTCACAAAAGTTTTTCAACACGTAATTGAAATGGATGTATGAATATACATGAATTTGCATTTGCATCAAAGAAGAAAATAATTTGAAAAATCACAATTTTCTGCCATATTTGCTTTAAAACTATCTGTTTTAATGTCAGCAGATGCATATTAGGATTGTAGTAGCTTTGGTATCATTTTTCAACACGGGAAAATTCCTGGTAAAAGACCTACCATGCTCATTGTTCACAGCTTTGGTATTAGCAAGTAAAAAATCTAGGTGGAAATGCAAAAATTTCAAAGATATTCTTATCCAGAATATGTCTGGATTCATTTGGTAATTGAATTTCTAATCTGTGATCTTTCAAAATAGTATTCTTTGCTTGTGACATAATTTATTTTGGGAAATTTGTTTCTCAGATATTTAATTCTAGATGTCTGTATTTATCGCAGTTCTTCACAAACTCTAGGTGTATATAAAGATGAGAAGGATATAATTTTCCAGAATTCACAAGTTCTTTGTTGGTGGTTATGAAATTTTCTTGAAGTTGCTGATTCAAGTTTTAGTCAACGTTTTTCAAATGTGATAATTTTTATTCTTTTGTTGCTACACTTACAATTAGTTTATATATTTCAGTTCAACTCTAAGGAGAATAACAATTGTTCTGCCTACATTGTTCATTCATGTTCTTTTATAGGAGGATTATCAAATTAAAAAAATTGACATTACAATGCTGAAAGAAACTTGTTTCCATTATTAAAAATTTGTCTTGTGGACAAATGTAATTTTGTAAAAATTTGTCAGTAGGAATAAAATACATGTGGGTTTAATTTAAACTTCCTAAAAACATATGGGTAACATTCTTAGGAAGCATATATATATATTTTTTAAGTGGCATCACTGTATGTGATAGCAAAATCTGAATGTATATCCAAAATTAGTATGTGCAGATATTTCAAAATTCAATATTTTATTTTATACTGGTACTTTATTTTTTAAATCTGTTATCAGTACATGAGATTTTTGGATTAAAATAAGTTTTTTTATTATTAAATTATTAAAATGGAAAACAAGGTTTTATTTTCCATCAGAAATGCTTATATAAATAACACACTTTCTAACAGTACAAGAACATAATAAAATTTAGAAATTAACAGTTGCGTATATATTTAGAATGTGTTATTGCTTTAAACAAACTACGCTACCTTTTTTTTTTTTTTTTTTTTTTGAGGGATTCACTAAAAATATCTTTCAGAAGAGATTTTTATTTGGAAGATGCAAAGATAGAGTGTTTCAGTAACTATAATAAAACAAAACACACACACAAAAAGTTTTGTTTTATGTATTTTTATTATTCTTTCTGTCAGTGGTGAGTGCTTAAGGAGTTAAGTGCATTTCTCCATGTTGTAACATGATACCAGTACATTAGTCTACTTAATTCAAAAATCTTGAGAACTTAGTGTAGGAATATTATCAGGTTTTCAAGGACTCCTCACTTCCACCCACTTTTTTTCTGCACACATAATACCTGAAATAAATTGGTTCATACCATCAACTAGGATTGGCAACTGAGGTCATTTGCATTTAGATGTGAGAAAGGGAAGGAATTGAAAGAACTTGTTATATGCTGTTGTGATATACAGTCAACTTATTTATTTAGTAATTTGGATGTAACAATGGCCATGGTTATTTTCTGAAAGATTCCTTCTGGTCTCTAAAAGCTGGCTTCGGGCTTTCCATTTTCTGTGATCTAATGCTGCATTTTCTGCCATTGTTCATCATTCTTTCAAACCAATTTTAATCTACTTTTTATTTTTATTTTTATTTATTTATTTTTTTTATTTTATGATTATTAGCACCGCCAAATAAAACTGAAATCATTGCCAACTTTGGAGAGAATTTGCGAACTTGTTGACAGCTAATTTTCTACCAAGCTAATGCATGAAATGCAACAACCATTTTCAGGATGGTGGCATACTAAGAATTCCATACAGGAGCAGTCAGTCAATAAAACTAAAAGAGCAAGAAACATCAGCAACAAAACATTTACCTTTTCTGATAAATCCTCCTTTTTTATGGCATTGTTCTCTCCATGTACACAGCAATCTATTTTTACTCCAAAGAACATCAGAGAAACTCAATGTCATATAACTTCAGCATTGTTACTACAGCTACACTGGCTGAAACAGATATGTGCTACCCTCATACCTGGATTTCTGTTTATGCTTTTGGTTCTCCCCGTGTGCATAATGATATGTTTTCATTTAGAGAAAATCAGAGAATTGCATAAATTGGGCATTGTACACTGACTAGAGCAGATGTGCTATATGCGTACCTGGTTGCCATATAAATATTTTTTGCCAACATCACAGGTTGCCACATAATTATTTTCAGGAGATTCTCATGAATGCATCTTTGCAACTTCATCACAAAGTACTCCTTTTCTTTTGGAGACTTTATGTCAATGTAATTTCTGAATGTTTCATGCGTGGCATTTTTAATATTCGCCATATTTGTCTCCTGTTTTTGATTTCTTCTTCTGTTAATTACACCTTAGGTTTTTTTTTTTTTTTAAATATAATTTAGTGTTGGAAATAAAGGATGGCAAAAATTATATTATTAGATTATGTGGCAGCATTTTATTTGGAAATAACTTCATAAATTTTATTTTACTTTTGCTAACCTTCAAGTTACAGTGTACATATCAATGTATAAAGTTATATTTATTAAATTACATTGGAAACTTTCAGCCATTTAATTTGCTTTAATAAAATTTTATGAAAATAATATCTGAGTGAAACCTTTACATGATTGCTTTGCCTTTTTTCCTCTAAAGGATCCATCCCAATTTGTACCAGGATCACCTGAAATGCCACCTACACATTCCAGTCTCCCAGTGAAGAAATCAGAGCCTGAAGTGCAGAATGATCCTGTATTAATATCGAAATTTCCTGGCCAACAAAAATTGAGACTCCAATTAAAACAAAATGAAGCTGTTATAGGACCTAAAGTAATATTTTTTAATCCTTCTGTAATCAATTGATTTAGAATCTTCCATTAGCCAATCCATTAACCAAGAGGTTATTATTTATTTATTTGATGCATGTAATATTTTATGTAATTTTTTTTCCTTCTTCATTTCAGGTCGATGTAGAATTTAATTTAGGTGCTTTTAATTTATTTTTGACTCCTCAGCAAGTGCATATGTTATATGAATTGATGAGTGGCTTCATAAAGCCAAGTAAGGCAATTAACTATTAAACTATTATATATAACTATGTAACTATTAAAATATAAAAATAATTACAGATCATTTTTAAACATTTATTATAAATTTTGTTCTGATTTTTCATGCTTTATTTTTCTGTAATATCCAACTACAGTTGAGTCAGAAGTACGAATACATATTTGAGCATATCATGTGACAACAGTATTTTAACCACTTGTGATAACAGTATTTTAGATGCTATATCAGTTTCTTTACTGAAGAATAATACACAACAGTACTATCTTAACTTTGTTACCTGAAACAGCACACTGTTACTGTGAGTACTTCCAGGAGTTTCCTCTTATAGATGCTTTCTATTGTAAACAGTCAGTTTCCTCTGTTTTTGCAATCTGGCAACAATGTCACATGAAAATCATGCTGCACTTCTTAACCCCTTAACTGCCGTGAAAAACGTACAAGATTCATTCCCCAGTGCCACCATTTTTCACGCAGGTGCGCGTAGTTATGCGATGTATTGGGGGAAAATAAAAGCAAGTTACTTGTATGTAAAATGAGTAAATGATGTTTTGAGTTATATGTCATTCTTAATTTCTCTCAAGAATGTACAGTAACTTGCTGCATTTACTTACACATGTAGCCATATTGTTAACTCATTATATAAATTTATGCTATTTATCTCCATTGTATGGATGTGCTACAAGCATATAAAACTTTTTCTTGTTTGTTTCATATATAGAATTGTAATTAAGATCTATTACAGTTTTATTATTATTCATTTTGATAGTTGTTTTATCTAGAAACTTATCTATATGCAGTGAGATTACTAGGTACTCTGTGTGTGTTACATATGTGTTTAAAACTAATAGAAATTTCACATTTAATCAATTACTTCCAGAGCTGATAGATATGCTTTAATGAAATTTGGGTGCTTCCTTGTTAAGGTGGCTATTTTGGTCAGTCACCAGTATCAGTAAGTTAGTCAAAAGAATTGGCAAACTTATCGTATTTTTAATACATGATATTGTTTATGTTTTAAATTGTTTTGATTGTGAAATTGTTCATGGTGTTATCAATTCTTTTTTCCTTATAAAAGGTTAGTTTATTTTTTTTTATTATTTATTTAAAATTAGTTGGAAAAGAGTGAGTAATTTTTTGTGATATTTGTAATGTTTAACATATTTGATTTTTATGCTTTTTTAGACCATGTAATATCATTCCTTCATTACTTTTCCCCTCTAAAACGTTCACCATTTTTAACTGTACAGCAAGTGTGAAAATGAGCATTAGTGTCTTCATGATTTTTTCAGTTATTTCTTCCTTGTAAAGTGCTAACTATACATAACTCGCCATAAATTGAGGGTAAGCAGTTTTTTTTTTGGAAAATTCTAAATTTTATATGCTTAGTAAAAATATTATAAAAAAAGCCACTGAATGGAAATATTTATTAGTAAACTACATATTTTTAGATGTGTAAAAAAACTACAGGGGGCAGGAGGTCTTTTTTTCCACAATTGGTTGCATGACTGGTTTCCTATTTTCAATGCACTTCATATATTGTTGAGCTGAAAAACCAACTTCTATCAGTTAGTTCAATGGACAGTTAACAAACCACTGTGTAAAGCAGCTTTAAAAAACCAGAAAAGCATTAGAAATTGCCAATCGCCCATGTTGCAACATAGACCTTCCTTTTCAACCTACTTCATTTCAGTTTCAGCTGACAGAGAAGATGAGTCATCTACAAGAGCTCATTTTACTAATATTTTAAACATGCTATTAGTCTATCAACACAGAACATTTTATTTTGTTTCCAACATCATTTTAACTTCATGAGCTTTTTAATACTTCATTAAGCATTTTTATCCATTTAAAAAAAAAAAAAAAAATCTTTTACCCTCAAATGACAAACACAAGTCTCTAAAATCTCTTCCCAGCAGTCACAGAACCTTTGCCAAAGACCATGAATATTCTTGCCACCTATTAGAAATTGCCAATCGCCCATGTTGCAACATAGACCTTCCTTTTCAACCTACTTCATTTCAGTTTCAGCTGACAGAGAAGATGAGTCATCTGCAAGAGCTCATTTTACTAATATTTTAAACATGGTATTAGTCTATCAACACAGAACATTTTATTTTGTTTCCAACATCATTTTAACTTCATGAGCTTTTTAATACTTCATTAAGCATTTTTATCCATTTAAAAAAAAAAAAAAAAAAAAAAAAAAATCTTTTACCCTCAAATGACAAACACAAGTCTCTAAAATCTCTTCCCAGCAGTCACAGAACCTTTGCCAAAGACCATGAATATTCTTGCCACCTATTAGAAATTGCCAATCGCCCATGTTGCAACATAGACCTTCCTTTTCAACCTACTTCATTTCAGTTTCAGCTGACAGAGAAGATGAGTCATCTGCAAGAGCTCATTTTACTAATATTTTAAACATGGTATTAGTCTATCAACACAGAACATTTTATTTTGTTTCCAACATCATTTTAACTTCATGAGCTTTTTAATACTTCATTAAGCATTTTTATCCATTAAAAAAAAAAAAAAAATTCTTTTACCCTCAAATGACAAACACAAGTCTCTAAAATCTCTTCCCAGCAGTCACAGAACCTTTGCCAAAGACCATGAATATTCTTTCCACCTATCCATCCATGGTGCCTGCCCAGACTATTAAGTTTCCACCACAATACTGGTTTTTTTCTCAATGTATGAGAATGGGTAGGGAGTTCCTGGTTCTCTTCAGATGAAAGTGTATCAAGAATAAATGGATTAGCTGAATTGAGACTTATCTGTAAAACTATATCATTAATGCCTGGTCTAAAGTTAATGTTTTCTGCACAGTGTTAAACACACTTTCTTATGCGCAAAAAGAAGTTGAATGCAAACAGAAATCATAAGAGCTTTATTTTTTCCCTTCAGGTGTGGTTCAGTTAATTTTTATGAATAATGCTTGTCAACGTAGGACTAATCTGGTAAATGATTTTTGGCAAAGTGAGGATATTAACCCTTTAACTGCTTAAGACGTGTTTAAACATTTTTGGAGTTTCCTTTAAAAATGCTTAAGACGTCTTTACACAAATTTCAAATCGCACGAAAAATGCTTAAGACATGTATACATGAAGCCCGAATTTCGTGAAGATTGCTTAAGATATGTTTAGATGCTGCGATTTGGTCTTCCTTCCCCTACCTTTCTTTCTGAAGTTGCCTGTCAGTTGACACAAAGGTCTTAATAGGGTGTGAAGTCTGTTTGAAAAGACACTTTATGGATGGGTCCTGAGAATGAAGAATCATTGTCATGTGTGCATTATCTTTCCAATGACTGCAAGCTTGTGAATGAAGATAAATCGTTTTACAACAGTTTGCCTTGTGGTTATTTATACAAATGAAAGTTAAACAGAATCGCTCGTTGTTATAATACATTACCAAAATTTAGAAGAAACAGGAAAAAGTAACAATTGTAACGTAAGACGTACTTTTTAATAAACCATATATTATACAATATATTAAAAGTTGACTACAACATCAAGAACAGAATAAAATATAAAATGTTGCAAACACCTATCTCATTTGCTCTCGTATTTCAAGTGCGGGTGTTTCTAATGGTATATTTTTCCTTTTTACATTTTGAAATGTTAAAAATGTGCTTTCAGTATGCCTGATTTTTGTATTCGAATATGTAGCTGTGTGTTCCTTGTAAACGCGAACTGACATATAAAAATTTCTTGGGAGTCGAAAGGAAGATATTCTACTCGAAAACTTCAATTAAATCGAAAAAATTCATATGCTGAAAGAATTTCTAGAAATATTTGTTTTTGAAATTTTATTATTAAGATTTGAGATACAAAATAGTTTTAAAATCTAGGGGGAAAAGTACGCGTTTTTTGGAAAGAAAGTTTACCTGGTATAAAATCGCATAAAATTAACGGAGTGTAAGTTAAGTAAAACAGTTAGTGTATGAAACGGTTACATATACTGCGCACAAAAAATTAGTCAGAGGAACAATTAGCTAACGAATTAAATTAATTACATTAAAAAAATTTCGTTAGAAAAAAAACCTCTCCAAATGTCAATACTGATAGCAGCACTACAAATGAAAGTTATTAAGTTCATAACTTAATTAATCCTTTGGTACTCAATAATTTCGGCCCACTAGCTGCCGAGCGGTAAAGTCGCTGTAGTTCGGTCTGAGGTTCGAATCCCGCAAACGGGCTGGCTGCATGGGTGCTTTCATGGTTTTTGCCAAGTGTAACATGTATACGAACCAGTGTTCATTACAAAGTTCTCCACTAAGGCATCCCTCCTCTTAGGCAGATAGCCCTCGAGGCTTTGTCGTAATCACATAAAACCAAATCAAATGAAAAACCAATAACTGTGTGTTCGCGATTACTTTGCAAAGATTTTTGATAAAGATTCAAGAAAAGCCTGCAGCAACCTAGTAGAAATTGACAGTTTGAAGCGAGTTTAAATCCCGGTGAATGGGCTGCCTACCTGACAGTTTTCGTGGATTTTTGCTGCCTAATAAGCCAATCTCATTTAAAAAGGTCCTTCACGGAGATCTCCTCGGAGTACTAGTCCTTGCTTGGGATTAGGTTTAGTTTGGTTTGTTAGATTATGATAAAACACACAAATGGCGATCTGTCTAAAGAAGGTATGTTTCATGAAAGACTGTCGAAGGAAAACTATTTTGTACCTGTGTTACATATAGGTAAATTTCACGAAAACGCCCATGTGGTGAGCCAGTCACAGGGGTTTTCAATCCGGGTCAAACTACAATTATATTAATAGTCCTTGTGATTTTATCATGAGCTAAATAAAATAAAATACAATCTTGCAAAAGTCGACTTTATGCTATTGAAATGGCAATAATTTCACGTATTATACAGGCCATCATTTTGTGTCCTATTATGAGATTTTGCTCTTTTCCATTACCTAGTCTAGCCCACAACGGAACACCACTAGTTCTATCCGGGGTTCGAATCCCGTGAAGAAAGGGCTAACTGCATTGGATGCTTTCATGTTTTTCTCA